GCTGAACTGCTGATCTGGCAGTAGCCTGCAGTGCTGCATTTAACCACTGCGCCACCTCGGCTCTATATTTTGCTTGCTATGTATTAGCATGGGCCTCATCCTCGTTTTCATCATAACAAATGCAACGCAATATTATTACTTGCAGCTCCTGTATTTTGCAAAAATACCATCAACAGAGTGCCTCACACAGAGAAGGGTCTCCACAGTATATATGTACTGGGGTGTGCGTGAGTAATGTTGCTAAAATATTAATGGCTAGCACATGCTAATATTTACATGAGGGTTCTTGTCAATAGCTAACAATTCTTGCTGAACTGGTAAGTTTTCATGAATAGAGGCAGCTTTGAGATTTATTTTATTTAGAATAGTAGCAGAGAAGGAAAAAATTGCACAATTCAAAAGCTCAAATGACATTGTCATTCCCCACAACCACAGTGTTAAATGCATGGCTCATTGTTTAAAATTAGGTGTTACAATGTCATTTGGTCTTAAACCCCTACTGATGATTCAAATTACAATATTTTAGTATTGGCCTTGCCCCTGAATCTTCCCTCCCTCCTCTTCCTCTATTTATACTCATTTAACCATACCCCCCATTTCCTCCCACTCATGCCTATTTTGGTCTATGTGCCTTTAAACTCCAATAAATAAACTTTACATTGGAGACGATATGAAATGGTTCCTCCATGCCTTTCCTGAAACCTAGGGAAAATGGTTTGTATAAACCATTCAATTGCATAAATGCCTGTGCTGAAATGACAAGAATGAGATGGGAAATATCATTTTAGGAATAGTTGCCTGAGCAACAAGAGATATACGAAAGGAGAAGAAGAGAAGGACAGGTCTCTGCCCAGGAGATTTGAAAGGGTCACCCTGGTTCTGGCACAACTAACCAATGAAATAGTTGCAGCAACAATAAAAATGGGAAAGAGGGATTTTCCTTGCCTTTCAAGGTATGATGCTTATAAAACTAGTTCTGTAGTACTGTTGCTAATTTTTCATAAACACATTGCCACTTTTAAACAGCTTCAGCTTGGAATTTCTTTAATAAGGTCTCAGGTGGATTATGCAACTCTGAAGCTGAACCCAAAAATAATTTAGAAAAGAAGAATGTTGCTTGCCTATATTTTTTATAAGATAACATTTTCCAGGCCTATTTCACTGCTGACTCCAGGTTCCAAATCTCTGTACAGTGTTTATAAAGCAATAGTAAGCCCAATTTTAAAAAGATGATGTCGATCCCTGAAGATATCAAGCTTCTAGGTGGCAGAGACACTCGCCAAACTGAGGTTCTTCTGGAAATGAATCAAGGCCTAGACTGACCCCAATTATTTAGGACTCACCGATACTAGACCGTGTTGTAGATCTCTCAATGATGGCCCGTTTCCCAGGATTGTTGAGCACTGAGCGCTTGGCCAGGGACAGATCTGCTGTAACACGGGTGATGGAGATTCTGAAAGATAGGATGGCTCTGCTAAATGCCCTTAGGACAGGGGTGAGGAATAATGGCCCTTTCTTTTTTTTTATTAATTTTTTTTATATTTTACAAATATATACCTC